TTTTTACAAATAGGAATTCTCATCTTTTGTTTCATGTAATTTCACTGCAAAACATAATATTATACTGTATATTTTAAATAAAATTTTAGTGCATGCACCGATGGCAGAGAACATATGAAGATGTCTGATTGCTCAAAATTTATATTTGCTACAATTTAAGCAAGTCAGTTTTCCTAATATATTATTAACTGTCTTGTTTTTCATTTCTTCTTGAGTGGGCCCTGACTATAGAGGAGTTTATCAATTAAAGATGTCTGTATTGCTTCATTTTAATATTCAAAATCTGTCTTTATGATTAGAACTGCAGATTAACGTCCAACTTTCTTCATAGTTATACTATTTTTGAAGTTCTAGATTGTGTTAAATTGTTGACATTCAATGTTGTTTGCACTTCAAGAGGAAATGATCAGAGGTTTAACGAGATTGAGCTGGGAACGTATTGATGTCAACTTCAGTGGAAGTGTGCAAAGATTTCTTGCACATAATACTATTCAGGTATGTAGCTATTGTAACATGAGATCCATAATGCATAGTTAGTTTCTATGCCTCTACCATTATATCCTGAGTAGATTGTGTGATTTGAATCGTCTAAAACAAGACTTTAAACTCGTTTAGGTGTAAGTTATGTGAATTTAGAAAATATTGTAATTGACTTCCTACATCAGAAAGCGTCCTTATGCATAGCACGACATGAGATTTACGACAAATTTGGACGAAATATCCCTTTGAGATTCTTCGGCAACATTTGAAATTGCACTTAGCGACCTCAGCGGATCTTAATCAGTTAAGACTGTTGCTGCATTTCTTTCTTCAAAACTCAATTTCCAGCATTATTTGGCTTAATGCCTGTTCAAAAGTTCATCAGCTAGCTAGTAGTTTTTCCTTTGGTTTCAACGTGGCATTTTGTTTCCTTATGTGTCCAGGTGAAAACGTACTGCATAAATTCTGCCGGAGCCGATGTAATACAGCATATGATCGACAATTTTGTATTATAGAAAAGTGTACACCGACGCAAACCCGCTTTATTTTTTGATGTAATTATCTGAACCAGAAAGAAATTTAGTAAGGATAATTTTCTGTTGTGTAACTTATACATTGAGTCACAAAAGTATTGAGAAAGAGTTAATTCTGTGCTGCTACTGCTACTTATCTTTACCTTCATTGGTTGCTTTTGCCAATTTACTGATGCATCTGAAATTGCAATAAGAAATTCTTTGTTTAATTGAGTCATTACTCGGACTACTTGGTATATGAATATTAGGAAGATACTATATGTACCAAATTATTTACTAAATGGATGACCGAATTGACAAGTGACGCCCCCTATGTCGCGTCCTTATTGGAGTGAACAGGCACCCCTCCAATAGGGAGCGCCACTTGTCAATTCGATTAAAAATTAGATAAGACATTTGGTACAAGTAGATTAATTCATGAATATTAAGGGGCGTGAAAATGAGCGGATTGGCTCAAACTAGCATGGTTGCAAGCTGTTTTTGTAATTTTTGTGTGTAAATTTTAATATTATTTAAAGTTAAACCATTTTTGATTGAATATTCTCGTTGACTTGGTTGTAAGTTGTGCTAATAAACTGTTTCTGAATTATTAAAATTAAATTAAATTAAATTAAACAAAAAAAGTTGAAAATTGTTCGCAATGGTCATGGACTATGCCAATTTCAAAGAGATCGTAGAGACAGAAACTTGAAGTAGAGGATGGATCGGTGATGATCATTAATATAAATAGCATTGTTCTTTTTTAATGATCATCAATAGTAAAGTGTGAACTTATTGTTATTTTTTCATATAAATTGCTGATCATTAGTAGTATTTTCCCTTATAAATGTGTCCTTTGTACTCATTGCTAATAAACGGAGTTGAATGAATTCTCCATCATAATATGCAGGGGCGGATCCAAGAGGATCCCATAGGTCACTTGACCCTCTAGTTTTTGAAAAATAAAAAAAAAAAAGATATTGTTTGGGCTCACTATAGAATATCAGACAAAGTTGAAATATTACATTTTTAATATCATTTTGAAACACTCACGACCTAGTATTTCACGTCGTTAATGGTGTACGAAATGAC